TCCTTAAATCTGTAAGAGAAAGCCTGAAAAAATTCTTAACTCTTATAATAAATACCACCTAAGGTCATCAGAAATGTCAACAAAATCAGAATTATGGTCTCCTAGCTCCTGGAGCAGGATAGGCTCCGGCCCTTGATCATCTATCAAATGTCTGAGACAGAAATTGATGGAGTATGGCTTAGATCTGTCAGAGTCTGAAGCATTCCTGCTGGAGACCATAGGACAGCAGCAACAACAACATTAAAGCAAACATCCACTGAATGGAAGCCTCCATCAATGTCCAAGTTGGGAAACAGAAACAGTATCACACAACTTTACAGAGAAGATTTAAATTTTTTTTATTTATTCAAGAGAGAGACAGAGTGAGAGAGCATGAGAGGAGACAGAGGGAGAAGCAGACTCCCTGCTGGGAGCCCGATGTGGGACTCAATCCCAGGACTCCGGGATCATGACCTGAGCTGAAGGCAGTCGCTTAACCAACTGAGCCACCCAGGTGCCCCTACAGAGAAGATTTAATGTAGGAACTGGTTAGACAAGTTTTGGTGGACCAAAAGGGCATGAAGCAAACACTGAGGTGATACAGAGACAGCAAGTACAGAAGAAAGCTTCATCTCCTAGGACTGGAGAAACCAAGACAAAGATTAAGGCTGTTGTAACTGAGAAGCCCAGAGAAGGAATTCCACTGAGCTAGGTCAGAGATCTCTGTTGGGTGTGTGTTTCCTGGGTAGCCCTGGTCTTCCTGTGGTATGAAGAGATTCTATGGAGCTAGGTCTCAGGCCCCTGAGGCATAGGCACTCCTCAGAGAGTGCTGCTTCCTCAGGATCTTGAAGGAGAGAGCTCCTGCTGAGCTGGGATTCAAACCTCTAAGTAGGCAAAACTTGTGACCACAGGACACTGTTTCTGTGGGGCTAATAATGGTACTCCTGCAAGTGTGGAAACTGCAGCCAGCTGCTGCTCCTGGGCCCAATGACTGCTGCAGAGTTAAAGAAAGAGTATTACAGCAATGCTGACAAAAACAGGAAGCAAGTGGAACAGAACAAGTCCCTTCTGCCTCTAGCAGCTCAGTCTTTCTCTGGGGCTACCTCTGGGCAGAGACTAACAGAAATCCTTCTGCAAAGCTGAAACATGGTTTGCAGAACCCCTGGCTCAGAGTTCCAGAGCTGGGGCTGGCACTGAGAGATAATAGATTAATAATGAGCCAGCTGTTGCCCAAGCAACTCAAGACCTCCCCATCTAGACTAGCTCAAGCAGCTATCCCAGCACAGAGGGAAGCAGAAGAATGTGGTTGTGTTTCCTGGCATGTAGACCCACACAAAAGTGACGCCGTGTAGATTAATTAGCATCCCAAGGAATCTGAGTGGAGAATGGATTATAATTCGGTCTCTGAGTTTTTCCACTATCCAATACAGGAAACATGGATGACAGTTTTGTTCTAGAAAACACACATTTATGGGGCTACCTAATCATCATAATTCATTCTAATCCAGAAAAATGAAGTATTCTGATGGGTCTCATTCTTCTCATAAGCATACCATAACCTGTACAAGTCTACCATGGCCTGTACTGGAGTACAAGCATTGAAGGTGGAAAAGGCAACATGTGGGAGGACATGACAGTAGATCAACTCAGCATCACACTACCAATAGATTCAGACGCAGATGTATGGGAAATCCCAGCCCACTGAAGTCCTGAGGTTTGCTTTATCTGCCCCCAAAAGAAGACAAAGCAAGAACTAATCATGACTTGGTCCTCAAATCTGACATGAAGCCAATGTAAGGAAGCACTGTCTTCAAAAGCCCAGACCCTCTCTTCATCTCATGTTTCTCTAAGAGAATGCCAGGTGTACTCACTCTCTAGCTGAGCTGTCAACATAGTATGACCAAAATATGGTGCCTGGCTGATGAATCTAAGGAGGCTACTGGGCTCACTCCAGTGGGTGGTGGAAAACAAAGGACTAGCCCTTCCTCTGGGCTCTGTAGCTCCCAGATGATGTGGGCCAAATAACCTTTTGCTTGTATTTGATGAAAGCAACCCCTCCAAACTCCTAAGAGAAAGGAGGATCTTAGATTAAATTTAAAAAGATAACATAAGAATCTGTTCCATGCAATGGGAAATTAAATGGGACAGGGCTTCTGTAATCTTACGCATCCCTTTCTCTGGAATAAATGCTTGCCCCTGCCAAATGGGCCCCTGAGAAATCACATCTGGGGAAATGGCTCAGGTGTCTCATCTCTGTTAAGTAAGTGATAGACATCATCGCACAAATTCAGTATTCCTCCAAAAAAGTTATTAGGATGTAAATCTGTGTCCTCTGCTGAGGCCAGTTGCTCCAATTCAAAACACTTTCAAAAAGATTGCTCTTCCAAACCCACTGGTCAGACAGGAGTTGCAGCAGGTTTGCTGCTTGTTAACAAAGTCCCTTGTCCCAACCGTGGACAGCGGCAGAAGATGGAGTCTATGACAGGTTCTAATATGCTTTGGTGGATAAGAGCATATGCTCTGGATTCATGGAGCTAGAGCTGAAATCCTATCTCCACCTCCCACTCGTTGTAGAGCTTGGGTTATCACCTAGCCTCTTACAGTGTTCCTGGAAAACCAAAGATAAATTTTGGCAGTACTTAGTCTCAGACCTGACACACAGAAGCTACCTTGGCTAAAGGCAGTAGTCAGTGGTGGAAGTGGCACAGCAGTGACTACAAATCCCAAAAGTGAGAGTGACTGGTTGGTTGGACCTCAGTGGTTCTCACCCAGAGATGATTTTGCCCTCTCCTCACCTCCAAGGAGATCTGGCAATGTCTAGAGACATTCTTGTCTGGAGTGGTTCTACTGACATCTAGTTGGTAGAGGCCAAGGATGCCGCTAAATTTACTAGATGTACAGGATGGCACCTGCCATGATCAACAAGGTCAAAGTTGACAAACTCTGGTATAGTGGTACCCAAAGGTCAATCCTAAACTGAAAAAAAAGGAAAGCCAATATAAAATACAAGACTAGAAGTACCTCATTGTCTGGAGCCAAAGGACAGGAATGTGGCTAAGACTTCAGTTCATAAAGCAGCCTCCATAGAGGAGGAGCTGGATATACCACAGGCTTGTATCTTATCTCCATCATCCAGACCTCTTATCATATGGCTATTGGTGCTGCCAGACTAATCTGGTGGAACTCTTACAGAAGATTGGCTTGAGTCAGGGAGGCTAAAATGGTAAGTGCTTGTTGTTGGAGAAACATCTGAAGAAAGGTGAGCCTCCCTTGACTGATAGACATTATCAAAGACAAAAGCAGAGAAATTGGTAAATTGGAAGTTTCACAGTTCCATTCTGTGGTTAATCAAAGAACTGATAATGTGAAGTCATATTAACCAGTCACAGAAAATGCTGCCTGCTGGATGCCTGTGGAGCATGAGTTTGTCTACACGAAATCACAAGGACTAATTTTAAGAGATAACATCTGAGAAGCAAGAGCTGCATCTCTGTCTCAGCTAAGAAAAGCAAATCTGTTTCTGTATAAAGGATCCACCAAAACAAAGTGTCAGGTATCAAGTCTATTGAAGGAAAGGAAGGCATCTAGAGATGTTCTAGAGAAAGGAATGATCTAGAGAAGACAAACTCCAAGCAAGACAGTACTCTGGCAGGGAGAGGTGCTCCACCTGGACATAGAGGTCACAGAGAGAAGGACCAGTTACTCACATAGAGCTCAGAAGGACAGAAACTGACACAGGGCTCCACTGAACAGGGAAGAAAAGTAATTTGAAAACTAAAATGGACTATTTGCATTTGAAAATTTGGGAAAAAAGTTTGGGGCCTGAAATATGAAAGGCTTTAGAAAGCTGGGAAAGGATCCACTAAGGAAATATGGATGATCTATCAGGAACTCCATTTGGCCTTTCCTGAGCAGAGCTGGTCTCACTCATGAGCCTGAGGATCCCTGAGATAAACAGGATCCACTCTACATCAGAAACCACCAGAATGGCTTTTCATTTACCCATCTCAATGCTGTTTCTCACTATGTCATTCTTAGATAGCTGAATCTACTGCCATCCCTGCAGTCTCTTCCTATGTTGTCAGATCATCTTAACCCCCACCTACCCTTTCCAGCTAGTCACCACAAATATCACCCTGAGGCAGGCAGGGGTGAGGGGCTGTGATATCCAGACTATTGGGCTGCTCCTGTCCTCAGCAATCACCCACCACAACAATATCATACACTTAGACAGCACTTGATAGCATTGTCTTCAGTTCTCTTGTTCAGTCTTGACAGCACCTCTGGGCTGTTTATTTTCCTCATTACACTTAGAAGGAAACTATAGCTGAAGTGAGTTGAGTGCTCTTAGAGTCTGAATACGAATCCAGATCTTCTCCCCAACCAGTGCAGGGCTCCTTCCACATTGCATTCATCTTTGTACATAAACACCACACCCTGGAATGCAACAGTCTTTATGTCTTTTCTTTTTATATTCACCATCATGGATACTGCTATACTCTTAAACTGAATTTTTTAAAAAGAATTTATTTATTTATTTGACAGAAACAGACAGCCAGTGAGTGATCACAAAAAGGGGAGTGGAGAGAGAGAAGCAGGCTTCCTGCTGAGCAGGAAACCCTGTGTGGGGCTCAATCCCAGGACCCTGGGATCATGACCTGAGCCAAAGGCAGATGCTTAACAACTGAGCCACCCACGCGCCCCTTAAACTGAATTTTCTAAGGCTATAATCAAATGAGCTCTGTTTTATCAAATGAGTAATGTGTTTTTAATCACTCAATGTTCATTAAAATGGTTTTTTTTTAATTTTTTAAATCATTAAAAAATGTAGAAAATATAAAAATTATGAGATTACAAGAAAGCAAGATGAATAACAATAATGGCTCTTCAAGTCATTAGAGAATCTATTAGTAAACACACTGAGTCATTAGTGGTAGTTTCCAAAACCTTCATTAGAGAGTCTCTGAAACCACTGTGGACTTCAACATGTAGTCTCCAACAAAAGCTTCAGAAGACAGAAATTAATTTCTGGAGAAGGCGAAAAGCTTCCTGAGGGCTGCCTTGACTTCCTTGTTTCTCAAAGTATAGATGAGGGGGTTGAGCGTAGGGCTCACCATAGTATACAGTACGCCAGCCAACTTGCTCTTCTCTGCACTATAGCTGGAGACTGGGCTTATGTAGGCATAGAAGACAGCAGTATAATACATGCATACCACAATGAGGTGGGAGGAGCAGGTGGAAAAGGCTTTCTTCTTCCCCTCCGCAGTCCGCATCTTGAGGATGCTAGAGATGATAAAGCCGTATGACACAATGATCATCAGGAAGTTCAATATGCCATAAAACGCATCAGCCAGGACAATCATGATGCTGTTCACATACGTGGAGCTACAGGAGAGAAGCAGGAGAGGAGGGACCTCACAGAAAAAATGGGTAATGACATTGGGGCCACAGAAATTTAAC